ATCAGTGTAGAAGAAATGCACTCTGCTGAGATAGAAGTCTTGAAGTATGTACAAAGGCAAAGCTTTAGTGAAGAGTTGGTGTGTCTTCAGGATAAAGAATCAGAAGTTGTGCACAAGAAATCAGTCCGAGCCAGCCGCACACTTTCTGTCAAGAAATCAAGCTCAATTGCCAAGTTGGATCCGGAGTTGCGCAATGGCCTGCTGTGTGTTGGGGGAAGATTGAGGCACGCACCAATCGAACAAGAGCGAAGACACCCTATAATACTGCCAAAGAATCACCATGTTGTAGATCTGATCGTCAGACATTACCATTTGCTTTCTGGACATTCTGGTCAAGAATATGTGCTCTCTTTGATCAGAAAGAGTTACTGGATTATCAAAGGAAGAGTCGCTGTGAGAAGAGTTGTAAACCGCTGTTTAAGCTGTAGACGAAGACAGGCTCCGTCTGGAGCTCAGAAGATGGCCGATCTTCCTACCGACAGGGTCACACCTGATAAACCCCCTTTCAGTTTTGTAGGTGTCGATTGTTTTGGCCCGTTTTGGGGTAAAGAGGGCCAAAAGTCAAGTCAAGCGCTATGGTGTCTTGTTTACGTGTTTGGCTACCAGAGCCATTCACTTGGAAGTCGCCCAGAGTATGGACACGGATTCGTTTTTAAACTCATTGAATCTTCCTCCCGGCGTGTTCAGGAAAGAGGATGGCTACTCCCGAAGAAGGTGGTGCCAGGTACAATATTTGGCCGAAGTGTTTTGGCGGAGATGGATTAGAGAGTACTTGCCGCAGTTGCAGGAGAGGCAGAAATGGGCTTATCCATCGCGGAACTTTGCCGTTAATGACATAGTACTTGTGGTTGATGATAGAGTACCAAGATCTTCATGGCCTCTTGGTCGGGTTATCGCTGTATGCAAAAACAGTATGGATGGGTACGTGAGAAGTGTAACTGTGAAGACCAGAACAGCACTGTAAGATCGCCCTGTTGATAAGATTGTTCTCCTGGAGTCGGTGGAGATGTCAGAAGGCACGAAATGAAGCATTACTGAACTGAACTATGATACGATTTGAACTTTATATTCTCTCGCAGAACTGTTAGATACAACGTTTTGTTTGCGTCGAGTTTCTTTAAAATCTTTGTTCATTACGTCCGATTTTAGGGGCCGGAATGTAAGTTACAAAACGTTTCCTGTGTTCAGTCCGCGCGGGACTGGTAATCTACATCATGTATTGTTGATATTATGGTATGGACCATGTGCTCGGACCTCCAGAAGTAAAAGTTCGGTCCTAAATGTTTGTTTATTTTCTCATAAATGTTTTCGTCACGTTTCCTGTGAGTCCACAAATCTTGTGAGTATATAGTCACTGTAGTATTTTCGTTTCGCTTCGTTTTGTTTACGTTTGTTTCCTTTTTTTTGTACAGTCAAACCAGATCTTCGTAAGTAAAACCCATATTCGAGTATTCAAGTCTACACTTTTAACCTTTAAATAAAACTGACAAACCAACCTTTCATAGCTGGTTTCTAGGTCTGCCTCTGTTGTTGGAGGAGAGTGTGGTCTATCTAATAAACTAGGAAAATATGAAATACAAAAACCAAACAAATTTTATTATATGAGAAATGGAAAGAATAAAATACTTTTCAAAGTTGACCTTGACAAGAACAGTCATGACTGAAAAAATTTTTATTTTTTTTGACAAGTAATTAAATCTATTGTAATTAAAGGATAATTTATTTGCACCATTTTTGATCACCAATACATTATATAATGGATTCGTCATTGTAAATATAGATGTTTGTAAAAAACTCTTACTTCAAAGGTTTAACAATACATTCCATATTTGAAGTCAAACATAGTATTGCAGAACCAAGGATTTTGTTGTTCACCACACCCACACCAAGCACTGGAGAAAGTGAACTGAAACAGAATGTACAAAAAAACAAACAGTAAGTTTAAATAAAAAACTAAAGGCTTAAGATGGGACTTAAACAGACAAAAAAACTGTGGATCATAGCTATCCTCAACTTGCCTTAGTTTATACAGCCACCATGAAAAATACCAGTAAGAGCAATATTACTTATCATTAAAAACTGGATCATTGGATAATGCAATTCAAGACTTTTTATTGGCTTAGTCATTATGGTATATGAGTCAATATGACATAATCTAATATCTGTATACTGTAACAGCCAGTTTCTTCTTACAAAATAAAGTCAAGAAGATTTGTTTAATATCTTGGGAGTGGTTTTTTAATATAACAATTATTCCACTCGCCCTTGTTGGATAGCCAACTCGGCACTACACGCCTCGTTGGCTATCTATCATCTCATATCCGATGCGCGCTCGTGGAATAATTGTTAATTATTATATGGCTGTGTCTCGGAAGGACTGGGAACTACCGAATTCATGAATTTGATTGGCTGAAATCAATATTGAAAGCGGTCTAGATTTTCCCATCTAGACCAGCATCTAGACTGGTCTAGAAAAAAAGGTACAAAGAATATAACAAATTGGCATATAAGACAAAGCCATATAATAAACATCTTATTAACCGAGCTAGGTCGGTCTGTATGGGAGAATCTTGACCTCGGTCGCTGGTACAGACCTCACTGTGTTCGGTCTGTACTGGCGACCTCGGTCAAGATTCTCCCATACAGACCTCCCGCTCAGTTAATAAAAAATAACTATAAAATCGCTACATACCTTGCTGTTGGTGAGGTACATATCATGTGATAAACAATGGCTGCTTCATCAATGTCAAAGTAACTCTGATCATCTATAAAAGAGTCAAAATTTGGGGAAATATTGCTTATAAACTGATTATTAAACATACTACAGTAGGAAAAATCTGAAAATTTCTATGTACCACTATCTCTATATGGTAAGCCCATATCATACAGATTTTCCTATATCTTCTAAATGGGATGGTGTTCCACATGTAAATAGTAATTTTCAAATATGTCTCATACAAACTTAAGACTACTTGATTTTGCATATTGCTTTCTAATGCTCAGCAAGCTAGTTTTCCTTCCATAAAGATTTACCTTGCATGCAATAACTTTGTAGTTTCTTGGTCCAAGGCAATGAAACAGTGTGTACTCCGGCATTATGGGAACAGTGATACAGATACGGAGACACTGGATCTGAAGGGAAACAAATTTTAAGACTTATAGCAACTTGAACAAATTTATGCTACAATATTTAACCTCAAAAGACAACAGGGTCAACACTTTTCAACTTAAAACATTCCATGACTTTACATGACCCCCACTCAAATTCCTCAACTTTCCAGGCTTAGAAAAATAATGCTATGAAATTTCAAGATTTTTCCGGTTTTGTTATTATACAACTGCTATACTTTGTTTAAATAGCCAGCCCATAGTGTTTAAAAATATCAACTGGTTGGAGGCAAACCAGTTGGCTACGCATGAAGTGCGGCCAAGAAGTTGAACTTGGAGCAACCAAGAACAAAATTAATGCAGAGAGCAGCACCATGGAGGGCTCAAACTTGGGACTACCCGGTTACATATTCACCCAGGCACACTGCCTCCCTATAGGTAGGTTCCTTATAAAATTTGCACCTTGCTTTTTCTTTGTTATTGAGGAAGATCCTTTTAAAACATGGCATTCCCTGATAAATAAAATTCATTGGCTGGTACCTTGCTCAAGTCTCAACAAGGACAAGTTTTCATGTTCATCAGACTCCTCTCCTGTAGAGCCTCTATCAGACTGGGATCCTGTTCCATCATTCAGTAAACACAGCTGGAGTTCAACACATTCGTGAACAAAGAGTGAAAGCTTCCTCTGAAAACTATTGGTTTGGACCTGTCCATGTCTGCTCCAGAAGTCTTCTTCCTGAAAATACGTCAATTTTTCAACATCTTTGGGATAAAACTTGATGCTTGCATCATTATCTTATTAATATTATAAATAACTAATTGAGAAACAAATTATCATGTCAAAACACAGGGTTTTCATTGAGAAATGTAGAGAAAGAAGGAATACCTCATCTGCATCATCAGATTCTTCAGATTCCAAAGCAATACAGTGATAAATTTTTCCACTGGTTGTTGCCATGGCAATAACAGGGGGTTGGCACTGAAGACACAGTAAAGAGCAGGCATCCAGACCATAATTATCATCTGCTGCAGGGAACATTGTTAGGGGACCAACAACCATTGGTTGATGCCTGTTAAAATAGGAAGAAATTAGATAACATGTCTTATTAGTAGTTATTAATCTGTAATATGACTTGCATCTTAAATAACTTTTACTCTTGAAAAGAAATGCTTTATGTACCGTATCTGAGAAATTCTGTGGAGAAGATAACAGATGTCTCCATTTTCTCTCAAAATGAAAACCGGGTAAGCAATGTCTGGTTCAATATCATCATAGCTTGGTCTCGCTTTTGAGTTGATATCTCTAACAGCCGGTGCAAAATCAAATGCAGTGGCTTTCTCTCCAAGCGCAGCTGCAACTGCTGACAGTGATCCAACAGATATTGACTTCTGGCTGTACTCGGCTGTCAGGGAAGAGGATTCCCCTACCGAAATGGTCTCTATTGGCGAAGATGGCTTGAGGATGTTGTAAAGTCTGTCAAAGAGAACAGATTACAAAAAGGAAAATAAACCAAATTGAAGATGAAAAGAAAACAAATTAACAAAAGGAAAATAAACTATACCACTGTTCAGGTTGCCTCTATAATGTAATGCATTTGTCAACTTTTTATTGAAGAAAACTTTATTTTCAAAAACCCTTTGACCCCTGAGTCACCAATATCAAATTTCTCCTAACAAATATTACCCCTGAATCAAGTATCAAGGTCACAAGAGTAATGGAAATGATCACCAACCAATTAAAAGAAGCTCTAGATTGTTGAACAAATTCTCCTTGTAAGCACCTTTGGAAATATACAGGGAACAGTATGGAGAATGTGCATGCTGATATTGGGGTGTAAAGGGATAAATAAAGCCACAGAATACCTCAAGTTATTGTCTGATGTAAGCACCATAAGATGAGTGTCAGGTTTACTTCCTGGATGCCATTTGACGTCAAGGACCTTTATCTTGTGATTTGTAACAAAGAATCTTGAATCAATAGGAATTGTCCTGGAACAAAGCATTCATGAACACTCAGGTGAAATAGAGATAACATTTTTTGGACACAGAAGAAGACTGGATGAAAAATTGTCAATATAACTATTCCACTTATCTATAAGCTCAACTGAATGGTTAACTTTGGATAAAATCTTACATTAACATGCATCTCATCCATGGAATTTCAATACATTAACTTTTGAATAGATGATGAGAATAAACTGACTCATCAGCTACATTGTAGAGGGAGCTGATTTGATGTAACACCAAATTCTCTCAACAAATTTACATGGAATTGTAGGTTGTCAGAAGGGAGAATTGCCAATCAGGCGAGTTAAAGTTTAAAGTGACAGTTAATCATGAATTGGACCTTAAAGGTTTTGTGAATCACAAACTCACAGCTAAAACCGCATACCTGCAGAGAACTTCCTCACTGCCACCATCGTATGCCGCAAACTTTCCCCATCTTGTCGGCATCTCAAGAACCATTATTCCTCTTTGTCCAACAAGCAAAAGGTACTTTGACGAAGGGCTGAACAGCATGGAATACACGTCAAATAAAGGAGTCTCAGTGCATACAAAAGTCTGTTGACAAAAGTTCAACAAAGATTATACATTCAATTTGATCTACAACTTTCTAGTATCTGAGGATGACTGCCATCTAATTTCTTCTTACAGTGTCACCTCTGAATCACTCATCAAGGTCATGAGAATAAAGAAAATGATCACTAACTAAAGACGCTCCTAATTGTTTGACAATTTCTCCTTGTTAACACCTCAAGAAATGTGTAGAGAAAAGTGTGGAGAATATGCATACTGATGTTGAGGTGCAATAGGTCAAGTATGGCAACATTTGGAAAGATTTCTGTCTAAACTCATACTATTCTAAGACAAAACCCCAATTCCAAAGCTGATCTCAAGTTTTTCTCATTGTATACTTTTGGCAACAAACCACACGCATAATGAAATAATGAAGTATGAGATTATATCAAAATCTAATTCCAAATAATTTATGACTTTTTTTTAATTAGTTAGGGTGGTCTTGTTATGACCTTGCCAGTGAAGTACATTAAGGCATAAGACATGTTAATAAATCACGTAATTAAGGTTGAAGGAGAAAAATCAGTAAATGGCCTAATCAGTCAATTATAACAAGTAATAAGTCGATCAAAGAGTCAGTCAGAAGTTCAATCTGTCAATTGATCAGTCTTGCAGTCCAATTACTTCGTAAATCCATCGATCAATCAATCAATCAATTTATCTATCAATCAATCAACCATCAGTCAATCAATCAATCGATCTATCAATCAATCACTCCATCAACTAATCAAACTATCAGTCAATCAATCAATGAGACATTCTATCTATCAATCACTCAGTCATTCCACCAACCAGTTAAACTATCGGTCAATCCATCCTTCAGTTAGTCAGTCAGTTACTCGCTGTCTGTCACTAGCTCAGTCAACTGTCAGTCGGTTGTTCAATCAACTAATTAATAAGTCAATCAGTCAATCAATCCACCGATCAGTTGGTCAGTCAATTACTCACTGTCTGTCACTAAATCAGTCAACAGTCAGTCGGAAATTCAATCAATCATTTGATCAAACAGTGAACTTACTTGGAATTTAGCAGACCATTCTTTTTCAAAATGTAAGTTTTTCAGATTAGCTGTCAGTACACTAGTGTTCGAAGAATTCCATATAAATATTTCACCATCGTTTTCGATTAAAATGTTTCTTGATGTCCTCTCCGGAAATTCCTCTCTTTCTCTTGAGTTTTCTTCACTAACCGTTGCCGAGAGCGCTCCAAAAACTGGGTGCTTAGGCAAATCAGTTTGCCACTTCTGATTCGCATCCGAGTGCGTTTTTGCCGCCATGTTCCTCTAGAACGTTGTTAGTTACCTTACAATTTACATGAAGGAAATATTAACTCGCATCAAATGGATTGTGGGCTCAAAAAGTACGTGGCCAATATGGCGGCCGAGGTAAAGTTTGGAGAGTTTCTATTTTTTTTCCTGTTTACTGATGATATCCAAGGTACCTTCATGTCTTTACGATTGTATACTACTCTCCATAGGTGATTGAAATTTTAAAGAAATGCGTCCAGAAGATCACAAGTTCTAGTACGAAGGAAAGGCGACACGTCTGTGAGGAACTACTAGTGCCATGCATCCAGAAACCGGGTATGCTACAATTTGTAGTTATTTCAATGAACTGTGCATGTACAGATAATGATCGATCTCAAGAATTCAAGAGATTTTTCGATAAATATCGAATGTTAACCTGGGATGTCGCGGAAAACAACTTAACTATTGCGTGATTTGTTGATTTCTTTGTAAACTGAGTTAGAAGGTTACTAGTCGTCGAATATTCACGTGGTGCCATGGATCCCTCCGACTTTTTGTGTGAGGAGAGGGGTGGGGGTTGATGTCACTCAGGGATATTATGATGATTATGATGAGGGACCTAAAGGCAAAATTTCTTACTCGTTGCAGGCGTTCGTTTTCTAATGAACATTTTTCGGAGTGGGAAGATTCCAATTTTGGTTCGTAATACGTACTAAAGAGGGTCCGGCGAGGGTAGGGGGAGAGGAGTCTTCGGACTAAAGGGGATGGAAATGATCAAATGATATTGATCATTGCCACGCATCACTGTTGTTTCTCTTGTCTTTTTGTTTAATTTTGCAGATTTTTCCGAGGCTGGAGTGAAAGCAGTGATCAAGTTGATATTTTTAACACAGCACCGTTACAGGTGATTGATAGCTTTTACAAGGCCAGGTCTACATGTTGTAGACATGTGTTTCTCCAGACACGAATACTTATGTTTTATTGAAAATAATGAGTTGTGAAGAAACAACTTGTCTTCTTGTGCCTGCCTTTGAGTGAAACACTCACAATAGCTGATATTTGATAGTTGATATTTAGAGCATTAGCCCTTCATTATATTTACCAACTGTTTTTTTTTTTTAATTTGTTATGCCATAGTAATTAAGCTAGTTTCCAGATTTCTCCATCGTCCAGAGTGCAAAGTAAGCAGAACTCAATAAGATCATGTGCATGCACAGGCAATTCTCGTGTGAAATGTATGGCGAGAGAGGAATAGAAATCGTGAGTGGATCTGCCATACTCTGCAGACAGGTCTATTATCTAAAGAACCCAGTAGTACATGAGAACATTTTTCTCTCTGTTCTTTATATTTTGTGACTTGGCAATAAACTCAGTTATCACTATGGGGTATCAAGAGCATACTACAAACCTAGTCAAATGTAGATTACTGCATGAATTGTACTATTTTAAAGTATTTTTATGGTTATAATTGAATGTCAAATATTTGAAATTAAGAATTATTGAATACTTCTCTTTGTAGAGATAACAAGTCAAGAAGAGCAGTTGAAGAAGTCCTTAGAGTGTTGGCAGAAAAGCAAGGTAGGTGATGTTGGGCCCAGAGTTTGGTCAGGCATGATTTTTGTCTAACTTAGTATATTCAATAAATCAATAGTGGTTGAGCGTGGTTTGTACTCTTATTGACAATGATACTTGTCATCACAGTGGTCAAAATTAGTGGTGGACTCACTTGGCTGCACCTTGTGATACCACAACATTTTGACCACTATGATGACGAAAATCATCAATAAGAGTACAGAACATGCTAAACCACTGTCAGTTGGTTTTTTATCCCAATATCATTGTCAAATAAAATGATTCTCTTAGTGCATGACTTATTACATGACATTTTGACACAAGCAGTGTTGTCTGTACTCCTATTAAAAATGGCAAATTGGCCAATCAGATTGCAAAATTACTGCAAATTATGGTAAAATTTTCCAATTACCAGAATATACCATGATCATGGCAATTTAGTTTGCTTTATGTTTTTCTTGGTTGAAGTTGGTTATACCTACTCTTCTAAATTTGATTTGACAATCAAATTTTTTTGATCAGGTGCGAATGCTGTCAAATACTTTTGTATGGTGTTTTCTGATGTTGAAAAACATATAACCTCATCAGCCCCAAGGTAGGTAAAAATGTGTCTTTGAATTAAACTTTAAATAAATCCAGCACACAATCAAGGAGACTTTGAGTGAAGTGATCACTATGTGCCAACTGAACCTGTGAGTCATGGCTGGCATAAATTTTCAAATTTTGGACAAGAATCATGGAATTTTGGCTCCATGATTTTCCTTTACAAACTATTTTTTTCTTTAATTTAATTTTTTCTTCATTGAAGGTTTCTTTCTTCAAAACTTTGAGAGATTTCTTTATTTTTAGAAAATTCTGAGAAGTGATGGTCTTTGAAAAGTCAGTACTCTTTATGTGTGCGGAAATACACTTTTCAATTTGACTGTAGATACAATAAACATTCAGACATTCAAATAGTTGCCATTCAATTAGTGAAAGGATCTCTGGGGCTCACTTGATTTGGGCAGACTGCAATGATATTTTGAAACTTGAAATTGAAAGCCCCAGAGGTGATAGTTATTTCATTTCCTTATAATCTGTAATCAGGGCTTGACACTAACGGTAGCTCACTAGCCACACACTAGTAGAAATTCAGTTTTGGCTGTGGTTTTCAATTTCCACTAGCCAGTTTTGTTAGTAAACAGACTGAAATTGTCATAACATCTAAAAACATCTAAGATGTCACTAGCCGCTTGGCTAGTAAGTTGAGAAGTCACTGTCGAGCCCTGTGTATTGCTGTAACTGTTTGTAAACTTAACTTTTAAATCTGTTTGTGTGGATTTGTTGCAGTTATGTGAACAGCGGTTCAAATCTTGTTCTTTTGTGTTGGTCATGTGTCCTCGCACGACATGTATACGGTAACACTGAATTGTGTAAGGATGAACAATGGATCAGATTGGTACAGGTTCAATGTGTGGCACTGCATGGAGTTATGTCTGCAGGGACAGCTTGTGTTTGTGAAGCAGCAAAGAAAAAAATATACAGAGTCTGGAGAGAGGTACAGTGGTGAAAGTAGAGTTGTGATTCTCACAACAGACTGTTTTTTATTATCATATCATTTGGACGTAACTTAGAAGGTCACAGGGCAAGGCTAACTTGATTACATGTCAATATCATCTGAACAGGTTCCAGGAATGACATTTAAGTATGCAGAAGCCATCAGCAAATTGGCAGCATTACAGGTACATGTTCATAGGGTATATTGCCATGAGATATATTAAAATGTTGCACAGCATTTTCACTTGTTATATGGGTGCTTGGTTTCTTAAGATAATTGAATTTTGATATTATGATTTGAAAAAGTCCAGCAATAAAAAGTTTCCTCCATTTAGACTTATAGAATGACTTCTATCATCACTTATTTTCATGATTTGATTTTTTTTTTCAGGAAAACTGCTGCTTAACTGGACTACTATTCAATTTTTGCACAAAAAATAAAGAAAACAAAACAATAAATCAATTTAAGGTAAGATAGAACAAGAAATCCTCACCATTGACACATTAACCCTTAAACCCCTAAGCATAAAAAAAAAAAACAAAAAAGATGACTTCATTGGATCACACAATTACTGTTAGAACCAGTTATCATTGTGGTCCTTGCAAACAACTGAAACAAATAATTCAAATTAAACATAACATTATTAAGAATCCCAACTGCCTTGAGGCAAACCAGTCAGCTATTTACAAGCATGGCCGAGGATTTGAACTCGGAGCTGCCATGAAACAAATACAGGTAGTGGTCAAGGTGGGACTTGAACCTGGGATTGGGAGTCCGACACGCTGACCACTCAGCCACACTGCCTCCACTAACATCTAATTTCTCCTTACAATATCAGCCCTGAATCACCCATGAAAGGTTAAGAGAAAAAAGGAAATGATCACCAACTAAACAAGCTCTTGATTCTCAAACAAATTCACCTTGTTAGGGGTTAAGAAATGTATGGAGAAAGGTATAAGAAGGTCCATCCTGTTGGTATGTTGTCAAGTGTAATAGTGTGTTAATGTTTTTCTTTTTTGAGTAGAGACCATTGCTGGAAATGTATGTGAAGGCTGTGATTAATAGCAAGACAAGACCTTCTAATCATGTCCTGGTGAGAAAGAAATTGTTGCGTTATTACATTTAACCCCAACCTTTGATGTACAATAATTTTGACTGTAAAGTTGGTTTGAACAAATCCTAAGCTTTTATTGCTTTTTGGCCCCTTAATGATTTTGAACTTTGATTCCTCCAGGTAAATGTTTCCTCTTTGCTCTGTCATGTCACTCATGAGGACTTCAGCAGCTTAATCTTACCAGCATTACAGAAATCTCTATTGAGAAACCCAGAGTTGGTTCTTGAAAGTAAGTGATGCATGAATTACAAGCGTTTGCTCCGAAATTTTTCTCTTAACAAAGCTTATAACTCCAATTTAGAGTTCAGTTTCAATGTTTAAATCTCTATTCTAGGCCCCTTGTCATTCTGAATATGCAAGGGCAAGTTGGCATTATTGAGCTTTGTGTCTGGGAATGAGTGACTTGCTTGAATGTTGCATTTACTAAAACAACTGTTCATTAACAGAGGGACGAGAGTTCAAAGTGTCGTGGGTTAAAAAAAGCATTTAAATATTTAATTATTTAAAGTTAATCTCGAACATCTGATGTTGAGAAGCCAGAGGTCATTGCACTGAGGAGCAGATCAAAACATTTGCCTTTTTTTACCTGATATACTGGCAGTTTAAATAGAGATGTTAAGGAACTCATAGATGTTTCTTGTGTTTCTGATAATGACTTTCATTTAGACATGTAATATGTATGATCTTCACAAAAATTGTTTCCATTTTTTTCTTCAGGTGCTGCCTACTTAATTTCTTCAGTTTCCATTGATTTATCCAAGTATGCTTTAGACATCTGCAAGAATACTGTAGGTAAGATGATATTCCTCATAA